AACTACTTGGGAGGCTGAGGTCAGAAGATCACAAGTTCTAGGCCAGCCTAGGAAAACTTAGCAAGAACCTGCCTCAAAAAAGAAAAGGGTTGGGGCACATAGTTTAGTGGTAAGTACCCCTGGGTTGGATCCATGAGGGGTACTGCAAAAAGAAAAAGAGAAAAATTAGCAGAATTTTCTAGAAACAATTTTCAATTTCCAGTCTCATTGAATCACACTGTAAAAAACACAACCAAGGACTAAGACGTCTGGGAAATACTAACATGATCAAGACTTTAAAAGAGAGGAAAAAACTTTAGAGAAAATTTATTATGCAGAAAGACAAATATCAAAAAATCATCATTAATATCCTCAGATATAAGATGCTACAAACACACACACACACACACACACCACAGTAGAATCCTACCTGGGCATGGTAGTACTTGCCTGTAATCCTAGCACTGAGAGGCTAAAGCAGTTTGAGCACAGCCTAGGCAAGGCCTGATTCAAAGTAAAAAATAAAAAAGGGACTGGGGATGTGCTTCAGTGCAAAGGTCTTGGGTTCAGTCCCCAGTATAGTGCCACATAAAAGGGGGGAAAGACCAGGGATTTAGCTCAGTGGTGTCCTACCGGCCTCGCAAGCACAAGGTCCTGAGTTCAATTCCCAGTACCAAAAAAAAAAAAATGGGGTGGGGATAAAATACTGAAGATGACCTGGTGGCACATGCCTGTGATTTAAGCATTTGGGAGGCTGAGGCATGAGGATTGCTCAGTGGTCATGGACAGCCTGAACTACGTAGCGAGACTTTGTCTCAAAAAATAAAAATATGCCAGGCATGGTAGCACATGCCTGTGATCCCAGGACTTGAGAGGCTTGCTGCAAATTTGAGGCCAGCCTGGGCTACAGTGAGACCTTGTAAAGAAAGAAAAGAAAAAGAAAATGGCAAAGGGAATCCCTGGCATAAGAGAAGAAAGATTCCAGGATAACAGTCTGCACCAGGAACATACCAGTCCTCTTGGAGAAAGTTCTGGGACAGACATCTTAAGGAGTTTGATACAATACACATCTGAGCGTTTAAAGAGAAGATTTAGACAACTGATGGAGGGTCTGAGGTCAAATTAGTCGTAAGTACATAAGCAAACAAAATAAAGGAGACAGGCTGGGGATTTAGCTCAGTGGCACTGTGCTTGCCTCGCAAGCACAAGGTCCTGAGTTTGATCCCTGGTACAAAAAAAAAAGAAGACAAATGATTAATTACAAGGAAAACAAGGAGTTATTTGGGAAAAGAAATCACAGTTTATTACATGGCAGAGCTCTGGTTAGCATTTACATTGAAATTACTATATAACCCATACTGAGAAGCAGGGAGGATAGGGCTAAGATGTGTGAATGATAAGGGCCAAGAGATAAACCCAAATTGTCATCCTCTATAATAAAATACCAGTAGGAAAGACCAAAAATTGCTAAGTCAAGAAAAAGCAACATAATTGTGATATTTAAAACCATAAAAATACATTTTAAAATATGTTTTACATTTGAAAGTGGTTGCCTTCAAAGAAAGAAAAATAGAGGTGGGATCAGAGAATACTGCCTTTTTTCAGAATTGACTGGTTAAACTTCTAGAATTATAGTAAACTCATATCTTTTTAGGAAAGAAAAAAGGCTCCATTTCCTCAAAACATTTTTTAAAATGCCAATTAATCTATATTACTCAATTTATGCTTAGCTTAAGCAGTATTATTTACATTAGTTAGACAAACCTCATTTTTCAGAACATTTAAAAGAATTCTGCACCAGCATATACACACAACCCATAGATATAACCTATGCCGTAGATACCTCCTTTAGGTTCACTTGTTTAAATGTTTATATTGACATTTATATTTGGGTCAATAAGGATTTAATATGAAGAAAACGTAGCTGTGTTTATCATGCTAGGTCTGGGTAACTTTATTAAAGATTTTAACAAAAATTATCCCAAAAGTAATATAAATTTAGATACTTTCTAAAAGTCTCAATGTAGGGCCCGGGATTTAGCTCAGTGGTTTCGCTGCCTGCCTCGAAAGCGCAAGGACCTGAGTTCGATCCCCGGTACCAAAAAACAAAAAAACAAAAAACAAACAAACAAACAAAAGTCTAAATGTAAAATTTCATGGGCCGGGGATTTAGCTCAGTGGTACCACACCTGCCTCACAAGCGCAAGGTCCTGAGTTAGATCTCCAGTACCAGAAAAAAAAATGTAAAATTTCAAAAATAATTTTTAATTTCATTCTAAAGTCAACACTCAGTAAAAAGTCAAAACAGGGCCGGGGATTTAGCTCAGTGGTTCTGCTGCCTGTCTCGCAAGCGCAAGGACCAAAGTTCGATCCTCAGTACCAAAAAAAAAAAAAAAAAGTCAAATCAATTCTAGAAATCATAAAAACTATTTTCCTTTTTAAATTAATTATATTTTCTGAGACAGGTTACCAACTCAGTTCTTTGATAGTGGTATTTAGAATCATTTTAACACGGTTTACATCTTTAAATTCTAAGTTTGTAGCTACCCTGAATATCTTATTATAACTAAAAATATAAATTCAGTTGTGACAACTCTTCCTTACAGAAGAATTCCAATTATTAAATATAGAAGAAATGAGAAAAAGAGAAAATCACAAATAGACCACAACAGTAGTAACTGCCACAAGCAAGGTCTGCCAATGGATAGTACAAGGAATTGGCAAAAGTTTAAGTAGAAATAGGATATTTGCATAGTCTCAAAGTATCTCTAGCAAATATTTAGTAATTACAAAGGAAAACAGTAAGTTTACAGTAGAGTATCCTAGCAGACACCACATTAGCATAGTGACTGGTTTCACATCACCAGAAATACAGCATCAGATAGCCCATTAGGACACAATGTCACAGACCAGAAGACACCAGAGATGTGACAAGAAAAGGCAAGATGAGACCAGATTGGATCCTGGAACGATAAGAGACATTAGTAAAAAGACTAATAAAATCTCTAACGTCACCTCTCTAGTTAGCGGTGTCGTATTGTAGCAAGGTCAGTTTGGTTTTTTTTTGGTACCGGGGATTGAACTCGGGTCCTTGCACTTTCGAGGCAGGTGACAGAACCACTGAGCTAAATCCCCGGCCCCAAGGTCAGTTTCTTAATTTAACGAATGCTGTATGGCTGATGTAAGATGCACAATACTCGATAAGAGTAGACAGGACCTCTATTTTACAACTCTTCTGTAAGTCTAAAATCACATTAAAAGTTTTTTAAATAACTTTAAAAAGATACACATATATGTATATTTGTGCATAACATATATTTGTACATATATATAAAAACCAAGACTTCATGAAAATTGGCATGTTGGGCATTCAGTACATTAAATAGTAATGTTCTCTTCTAAATTAATCAAGTGCCTCACTGGTAACTTAGCTTTAAGTTCTCCCTCTTCAAAGTTTTAGTCTCAAGTATAATTTTCTAATTTTCATAGAAAAGCTTTTTTTGTAAAACATTCCTGTATTAGCTCAAAAATAAAAATTCTAGAACAAAATTACTGCCATATTATCCAGCAAAACTCACTTATCCCCCTGTAATCCCAGCACTCAGGAGGCTGAAGCAGGAGGATTGCCACAAGTCTGAGGCCAGCATGGACTCCATGATGCGTTCAAGGCCAACCCAAACTACATACCAAGACCCTGTCTAAAAAAAATGAAAAACAAAAACCTCACTTATCCCAACCATAAGATCCAGTCAACATTCTTACTACATTCCTTCTCATTATCGAACCTGTTTTTACTGGTTGGGTTCTATGTATGAGTAGAGGGGATGGCTAATAGATTTAGTATACCTAATAAGCCTGGCAGCCTAGGAAAAAGAAAAATTATCACTTGGGTATCTTATTAAGAAACAGCTGTTTTTCCAAAAGTAGACAGTGTATACCTGAACTCACCTTAGATGTAAAAGGTAAGTAATTTACCTAAGTCTCTTCGTATAACAGAACAGGGTTACCTAAGCAATGCCATCTGAGACTCTTCAATGTCCTTTTTTGAAATTTGGAGCTAAAATGACTATTATTAATAGTAATTAACATTTTTTATGAAACAGGCAATTCTATGAAATTTACTCTACAAAGTAAACATCAAATCTAACTTTAAAAGAAGAAAATAATTTCTCCCTCTAGCTATGGCTGATTCATTCCCTGAGCATGAATGTCCTATTCTCATTTTTAAGTATAAGCTGAGCTGAAATCTGCCCATAGGGATCCTGGCTGATGAAAGTGATAGTTGAAATGGGGAACGATATTATCAAATAATCATATTTATTACTTTTTGCAGGCATTTCTTTCACTGCGCCATTTGTATTTCATCTATATGATAAGGTTATCTCTAAAAGCAGTAATACTGAAAAGATAATTACACTTTGTTAAAAAAAATAAAGGTAATTTTAAAGTGTATCTTTATAAAAATACACTGACATTTATATGTCAACGCTATTTCCAAATGTGCCTTTTATTTGCTACGAAAAGTAGAAGTAGCTGGGGATTTAGCTCAGTGGTACCGTGCCTGCCTCGCCAGCACAAGGGCCTGAGTTCAGTACCCAATACCAAAAAAAAGAAAGCCCAGAAGTAGCAGCTGGACGTGGTGGTATATCCCTTTATCCCAGCTACTTGGGAGGCTGAGGCAGGAGGACTGCAAATTTGAAGCCAACCTGGGCAACTTAGTAAGACCCTAACTCAAAAATAAAAAGAACCAGGGGATATAGCTCAGTGGTAAAGAGCTTGCCTAGCATGTGCTGGGTTTAATCCCCAGTACTGATAAAAAAATAAAAAGGAGGAAGAAAAATTAAAATGGTAAGAATTCTAACCCTAGTTATACAAAGAAAGGAAGACAATCTCCCTCAGGAACTCACTACACAGTACAATATATTCAAGTTGTGAAAGGATACAAACTCATTCAGAACTGCCAATATAGTCTGTCAATACAGTCTCTTGAATAATTATATTAAACATGTTACTACAAAATGTACCAAGAAGTAGAGAATACTGTATTTGTGAATTGCAAATAACAAACAAAACAAAACAGAGGTCCAAGAAGGCTAAAGTCTAAGCTGTAATTTACACATGAAGTGGCAGCTCAAAGCAGTCACAATGTACAAAAATGTAACAAGTTATTCATATGTTTACAAAAACAGAACCTGTTTGTCTCAGATTATATCCAGTTTTCTCTCCTAGGTTTCTGATAGCCTGTTACACAAAGTATTTTCCCTTCCTGATGATAAGAAACAGCTTGCAAATATCTATAAATTTCTTAAGAAGAAGTGAGTCTACTTGGCAAAAACTGACAATTCCATAGCTTCCTATTACATTCATTCGTCTGAAAACTGAAAAAACTTCTAGATGAAATACTCTTCTATTCCTTTGCCAGTTTTTCAAATTTCAAATCAAAGGAAAGTTGGAATGTATTGCTTCATGTCATCAACGGGCATTTCAAAACATCAGTAACTAACCCAAATCAAGAGTTCTTTGGCCAAGTAACAGGCTTCCAATTCATTCTAAATCCTTCATAATCCTTTTCTTTCTAATTTTTCCAGTATGGCCTGGATCTTGCAAACAGCCTCTTTCCTGGCCTGCCGGACAGAGTCCTGGCCCCCAGTTTCCACGGAATCGAGTTCCAAAAGTTCCTTTGTTAGCATCTCTTCAAGAAGCCAGTATGCTTTGTCTGTCTTTTTTCCTACAAATTCTTCTACTTCCTGCTCAAGATACTGGACCTTCTCTAGCACGTGTATGATTTTTTTTATACTTGGAGGAGTACTTTTGTCTGAAGATAAACCCTCTTCAGGGAGATTACTATTCTGCTCTTGACTGCTGGGCTGTTCAGTGGAGGTGTTATCATACAGTTGAGGCTCGGCACTGTACTGCACTTGGGAATCCAAAGGGTCTGCATGATCGTTATTCACTGTCCCCGACGAGTCATACTGATGGACACTGCAAGCAAAGTTGTGCCGGTTCATGCCTTGATCTGATGGGCTATAGGGGTATGAGGAATCCTTGGAATAGGAGAGAAAAATGGGGAAAAGTTGTTTAAATGGGAAGCCACCAACATTATATCTGTTAGCCCACATCTTTCCCCAGACCAGGAAGATACATGAAAATCATATTCCTCACCAATAAAACTGGACCTCCCTCTTTAATCATTTGAGATGAACCTGTCATGTAAAAGGGAGAGAATTCCAACAATGGTTGCCACCTACCCTGAGGCAGGTCATCATTATGAATACCTCACAATCTATCTTAGCACCTCACAATCCAGCTAGTGACTTCATAGGTAAGAATTAGGTAGCTTTCCCCCTAAACAGTCAAACCTTTCAGATACATTGTGAAAAGGAATGCACTATTAGCAGATGATGTTCAAGTTTATGGTTTAATTTAAAATTAGAACATACAGGCTGATATTATAGATATTACACATCTTCTGTCTATAATTATCTATTATTTGAGGTAGTAAAATACAGTCTTTGATTGTATTTAATATTCAAATTGTATTGCACAAAACAGAAATGTACCTTTTTCTGTTTTTTTAAAAAAAGAATGTGAGCTGGGTGTGTTGGTACACACCTGTGATCCCAGCACTCATGAAGCTGAGGCAGGGGATCACCATAACTTTGAGGCCCGCCTAGGCTACATAGTTAGTTCAAGGCCAACATGGACTACATAGTAAGACTTTGTCTCAAAACAAACAAACAGGATACAAAAATGTCTAAAATGTCTCTTAAAAATAAAGTGTGTGAGGGAAGAAAAAAGAGGTTGAAATAAGGCTGAGGAATGGAAACAAAGCTTTTGTACATAGGGAGAAGAGAGGACTTGAGGGCAAGGGGGAAATAGAAAAATAGAGGCAGGATGTATCATGTACAGGTGCAAATTCCCTAAGATGAGTGTTATCATTATGTATACCTAAAATGTACCAATAAATGGGTTTTTTTGTCGTTTATAATCTGCTACCAATAGATGTTTTGCTATGAAAAAAAATAATAATAAGGGGCTGGGGATTTAGGTCAGTATTTTCGCTGCCTGCTGCACAAGCACAAGGATCTGAGTTTGATCCCTGGTACCAAAAAAAAAACCCTGAGGTAAAGCTATAGATGGTAGCCACCAACTTTTTGCAATTTGTCTCCATTTTACATAGACCAATGCAGAGAAGTTCCATCTTGTGCTCTCTTAATTCCCCAGAGATCAAAGGAATGACACTTAGAAGGCCTACCTTGGGCTGCTGGGGTGGTGAAGGAGGTAGCTGAGGAGAGCCGCTGCTAGGCCACGGCAAAGCACTTTCAGTCATGTAGAGATTTCCGGGTGGTGCTGAGGGCACAGCTGAAGGCCAGGGGTAACGGGACCCCATCCCACACGCACCTGGAGAAGCCCACGTGTCTTCCTGGGGTCGTACAGTTGGTCCTGATTGCGGAACATTACGATTACCATCCCCATAAGGGTAATGGGGCATTGTCATTCCAGGGTTCTAGACAGAGAGGAAGAAATATGTATGGTGTCACTACTTCAAAACTTCGAGAAGTCATGACATTATTCCAGTACAGGCAGATTCTGAGATGCCAGTAACATAACTTCTCCAAGTCTGAAAATAGCTGGTTCCAAAGATAACCAGGGTTGGATTTGGTGACAAATTCAGGAAGAGTAAAGTGCATAATTCAACAGACAAAGCATACGGAAGTGTCCCATAGATAGTAGAAACAAATGGACCCATACGTTATAAGCAAAAATAAAGACATATTAGAACTCCTCTTGAAATGAACAGAGAAATAAACATGGTACCATTCAAAGAATATTTAAAAATATAAACCTAACAACAATTTTAAAAGCTTAATAAGACAGAAAGTTTCAAGTAAGAACTCTAAAAGATTTCTTTCATTATAAAAACTTTATGATTATGACATCTTTATGGTGTCTTCAGCTAAAATACAGTTACTGTAATACACATAATAAGAAAGCATCAATATAAAAGTTGTCCTTGGGCCGGGGATTTAGCTCAAAGGTTCCGTCGTCTGCCTCGAAAGCACAAGGTCCCAAGTTCGATCCCCAGTACCAAAAAAAAAAAAAAAAAAAAAAAAAAAGAAAAGAATAAAAGTTGTCCTTGTCAGCCACATATGGTGGAGCACACCTACAATCCCAGCACTCAGGAGGCTAAAGCAAGAGGATCGCTGCAAGTTTGAGGCTAGCCTGGGCTATATTAGTGAGTTCAAGGGCAGCCCGAACTACACAGTGAGACCCTGTCTCAAAACAACAACAACAACTGCAAAAGTTGCCCTTGCCTTCACCTCTGGAAAAACATCTGTGAGAATCTAAAGTATAGCACTAGTATAAATAAATATCCTTCCACTGTTTACAATTCAAGACACAAAGATTCCGTATTTTTTTCCCAACAGAAACCTGCTCACCTGTGAAGCAGGATATCCTGGAACCTGTGCCCTAAGAGGTGGCGCTTCATTCTGACAGTCCTGCTGTGGATACATCCAACGAGAGACTGGGCTTGGGCTGTTGCCTGGTGAATGATAAGCGCTTGGCATGTCTGTAGAGTAACTGGTCTGACTATAGCCAGGTGGGTAGTAAGCCCCAGAGTAGGAGGCAGTATTTGTCCCAGGACCAGGGGGGTATGGTGGACCATATGCTCCATTTGCATAAGAATGCAAACTCTGAAAAAAAGCAAAAGTAGGAGAAAAAGACAAATGAATAGAGGAGCTCAAGAGCTGAAAAGCCCTGCCTTAACACCCAGCCTTGAAAGCTGAAAAGAAATCAGTAACTAATGAAAACATGAAGTATTTACCCAAGCTTTAAAGCATTCCTTCTCTCACCTATTTTACCCCCATACCATATACGGAAGTCAAACCATTACTGGAGTTTGCAGTTTAACAATAGGAGAGTAAGAAGTGACGGAGTGATGACCTGAGAGTTCTTTTCCTTTTCCCAAACTCTTCCCTAACTCTAGCATTACATGTAACAGCAGAAAGACTGTGCCCACAGACTAGGGCATCCACAGACTAGACTACCTACAGACTGGGAGCAGGGGTCGAGGCAGTCTGGGAGAATGGACCATGGTTATCACAAGACAGACCTAGCTCTGCCGTAGGTTATCTCCGTCAGGAAAATGAAGATCATAGACTTATCTTGCAGAGTTACTGTGAAAGTTAAATGAGATGACATAAATAAAAGCATGTTCTCTGGTACATAGTGTGCTCAATAAATTGTAATTATTTACATTATCACTGCTGTCAGTACTATTACAGCAGGATCAAGGAACGAACCCAGACCTGACTCCGAAGTCCATGTTCTTTGGACTGTACCACCACTCTGCTCGCAGATAATACCAGCGACAACAGAGGCCTGGGATTTAGCTCAGTGGTTTCGCTGCCTGCTGTGCAAGCGCAAGGACCTGAGTTCGATCCTCGGTACCAGAAAAAAAAAAAAGAAAAAGAAAACAGACAACAGAGATGAATTCCTCACACGCTGCTTATTGGGGTGGGGGTGGTGGTAGTTTGGTTTTGATTTTTTGGTTTTGTTTTGCAGTGCTGGGCTTGAACCAAGAGTCCTGTATATGTTAGGCAAGTACTCCACCTCTGAGCTACATCCCCAGGACTGTAGCTTTCAATCACTTATCCACACTCAGAATACTCAGTTTAATCCAAACAACAGTAAAGCTAAACCCTCAATTTAAATGATCATCTTTCTTTCCTTTTTTTGGTACCGGGGATTGAACTCAGGAACTTGCACTTGCAAGGCAGGTGCAGTGCCACTGAGCTAAATCCCTGGCCCTTAAATGATCATCTTAATGTTTTCTATTAATTGCAACCTTACCTTTTAAAAATAGTAAAAACACAGAATCAAGTTTTCTTGTCCTCAGCTCTGTCTCAAGACAACATAATGTTTCTCACTTTAGGTTCAAGGACAGACATGGCCAGAGTTCTACATAGGGCCAGGTACAATGAAAACCAGCAACTGAAAGCCAGCAACATATTCCCTGAGCAGAGGAACAAAGAGCCACTGCTTTGTTAAAGCACCTAAGGCTCCTAAGAGGCTTTGCAGGCAGGTTTTCACCCTGAACAATGAGCTCCTTCATAAAATATCATGTGACTTTTTGTACTATAATTCAACTTCCTTAAGGAAATGATCCAACTAGAGAAAAAGTCATCCATATGCAATTGTTCATCAAAGTATTTATAATCACATAAAAGTGTAAACAATCTATTGCCCTATAATAATGGAATGACTGATTATGTAGATTAAAGGCTATTCACTGAAGAACCGTTTTGAGTCTTAAAAATTTGCTGCTGGAACTGACTAGATGTGTTAATGGTATTAATTCTTTTTAGGGTTTTTTTCCTTTTAAGTATTAATAATGGTATTATTGGGGTTTTTTTCGCCATTAAGTTTATTGGTACATTTTAGGTATAAAATTGTTACATTCATCATTGGGATCTTGTACCTTTACATGACTATCTTGGTTCTTATTTTTTTCCCCTTCCCCTGCCCTCCCTTCACCACCTCCACTCTTCCCTATTTGCAAAGACTTTGTTTCCATTTTTTTCTTTTCTCATATTTTTCCTTTTCCCTTCTTTCCTTTCCCCTACCCTTCCCACTTCCCCTGCTCCTTTAGACCTTTTCTTTCTATTACACAGTATCAATTATACATTTTTAAAATTACAATATCAAGATCTAGGAGACATTACCACAGATTTTACAGAATTTAAAAGGATATAGAA